AGGTTTGTATGTTGTTGCATTCTAACTTTTGTCTGTTTTATGGTTTGTATGTTGTTACATACATTTCTTTTACTTTTATCTGTTTTATGGTTTGTATGCATTTTAACATTTGTCTGTTCTATGGTTTGTATGTTGTTACATGCATTTTAACTTTTGTCTGTTTTATGGTTCGATAATGTTACATGCATTTTAACATTTGTCTGTTTTATGGTTTGTATGTTGTTACATGCATTTTAACTTTTGTCTGTTTTTTGGTTTGTATGTTGTTATTTACATTTTAACATTTTAACTTTTGTTTGTTTTATGGTTTTTTGTATGATGTTATATTGTTTTATGGTTTGTTTGTATGGTGTTACATACATTTTAACTTTTGTCTGTTTTATGGTTTGTTTCATTTCTTCTAACGCTTCCTCAGTTTCTTGACTGTTTTGAATTAGAGATAAATTCTGCTCTTCTAAATCTGCAAAAATGTCCAGCAGTTCCTGTGGATGTGAGAAGAACAATTCCAAATCCTGAAATTAAAAAAAAAGTATGTAAGCTACTTATAATTGATGAAAGGTAGGTACATTAAAACATGATCATAACAAACAGGCTTCATTAAATAATGTTTACAATGAAATGATTTTCATTCTCAATAGCTTACAAAATATATTGCAGTTATAACAGATATTACATGTATAATGAATTATGTTTATGACAAAGCAATATATCGATTCCTTGGAACTTTACTATAAGTGCGGTACGTATTCTGCATTAGGTAGATGATAACATGATATTTTGATAATCGGTTGAAAAAAGAGAAAAATCCAGTTTATGGAAACTCATAAAGATAATAGTCTCCTTGCTATTTATAGACACTTCTCCTATACAATGTACCTCATCACTCTCTTCATCTTCTTCTTCATCTTCCTCTGGTCTAAATGAGAAAATATCAAAAAAATCTTACAGCTATTATATCTTTCTATGCATGATATTTTCATTGATGGTTTGACTAAATTCCATTTGATTTATTCATATTTGATTTCTTAAAACAAAAAATGTTATATCATTGACATCAAATACTTTTTGTCACAGGGTTTGAACAAAAATGAAATTCAAGTAATGTTACCCAGTAAGCCCAGTATAATACTTGTTGAAATTGAACTTTTGGTTTGAGATTGTACTTACTTTTTGGCTGGGGGTTTTGAGACCGGTGGGGGAGGGGGTTTTGGCATCGCTTTCTTTTTGCCCTTGAAATCTTTGGGATCTGATTCTAAAAGACTCTTTTTGTAAGCAATCATCTCTTGTTCTTTTGCCTTCTTTCTCTCTTCACGTCTCTTCTTTTTCTGTTTTTCTTTTTTGTCTCGCCAATCCTGTTTTAGTTTTAAAGATTAAATATAAAACATGCATTTAAAAATTTTCAGTGTTTTTGAAAAAAAATTCACAAATTCTAAAGGTTATCACAACTGTGTATCTGCTTTACAGAATATGAGAAAAATAGGGGGGCATACAAGAGAAAAAGATAAGCATAATTATATAAATAATAATTGATGATACAGCTAATAGAAAAAATAAAATTTAGAGGAGCATGTGCAGTACCCTCTAGAGGTATTTATCTTCCTGTAAGCAGAATATGTAGATAATAAGCTGTGCCACCATAGCCCACAAACCTGAGGTGTAAGATTGTCCAAAAACTTTCTGTACATTTGATATTCTTTCAGTGTGTCTTCGTATTTAGAAATCTCCGATTTGATTGCCATCATTGCTGCATTAACCTTCTTTATCTCGGCTACCTTTTCAAGTTTAGCTTTTGTTTCATTCTCTGCCCTGTTGTTATAAATCCAAAATATTACTTATATGATTATAAATGTTCCATACCCACCATAAACAGTTGATTTTAAAAAATGTTGATTGAAAACATCAATCAAAAACTGTGACATTATATTTTTTTTCAAATTATTTCATCAACAGATAACAAATTGAAAGTCTAGGCCATTTCAAATTATCTCCATAATACACATATTTGGCAACAATCTAAATGATCCCAAATCATAATGCAGGCCTCTCAATACTGCTAAAAATATGGAAAAAACAAGCAGCTTAACTTTAAAACCATCCTGCCTACTAAGTGCATATAACCACAAATAGGTTGTAACACTGGTGAATTCAATATACTAGTAGCACATGACCAACCCTTTGGTGTAACCTCCACCCAGGGACTTTAATATGCCTTTACCTGATTCTCTAACCTGCATGCTCATAAAGCACACTTCACTTCATGCTACACAAACCTTGGGAGTAAGTCTGTCTAAGAACTTTCTGTACATTTCAAACTCCCTCAACATATCCTCAATTTTTGTGATTTCTGAGCGAACAGTCATGATAATGCTCGAGATTTGTTTTATCTCTAAAACTTTTTCCATTTTCTCCCTGCTTTCCTTCTCACAACTAAATTTAAATAGATGTCAAGGTTTTCATTCTTTATTATTCTTTTCCTTGATCGAAAGGATTCAGGAAATTATAATTATATGCTCCACAAAGTTACGCATATAAAACTTTGTGCTATGCAAATTCCATCACTAAAAGATGCATTTCAGTAGTTAGTATTTTATTTCAGTTAAATTTGCTAACATAAAATATTCTCTTTTTTTATATAAGAAAAAAAGTTTTGAATAAGGAAAAAGACTAAACATGGCTTTCTCTCGAGGAATTAGTTTATACTTACTCTCGAACAGCCTCGTTTGACCCATGGTCGTTTTCTTTGAGGAATTCATCAAACATGGCGGCATCCTCCTGTAAGTAGAGCTCCGCCAGGTCCAGCTTCTTCTCCTCCGCCTGCGAGATCTCCTCCAGTTTACTCATCTCATTTCTCTTTACTCCCAGAGAGTACTAAATAAACAAAATATTATTGCAAATACTAAACTAAAGAAAGACCAAGAAAATTGATTGAAATAAACTTGAGGAGGTTTTACATACTTGGACTAGAAACATCTCCCTCTTCTTGGCGATGTATTCTGCTAGAGATTCTTTTTCAACATGTCGGTCTACAACAATAAAAAATAAAAATCACATAAGCAAAATATCATATATTTCAAAGATTATCCAGGAGAGGACCCTTTTAGTTTGTTCACAAAATAGTGTAAATTAAAATTTAAAAACCTCATTATTTTGAACTTGATGGAATCCCCCCTCCCCTTTCAAAAAGATTTGAGATAATTGTGGACTTGAGATGGTAAAGATATAATGTTTAGAACTTCAAATTCATTTCAACATATCCTTTGTATTTAAGATACCCATGTTTGAGATGCCACAGTTCAATTGTATATTTTTCTATTACATAATGAAGCTTCAGATAGGTTTGCATGGTAAGAAGAACACAAGCATTGCCTTGTATTTAGCCTCACCTCTGGTGACTGCAATAGTGTGTTCTGGATCATCTTTTACTGCAATGGCCTTATCTGAATCCTCCATTTCCTTCTCTTCATCGGAATCTACCGGTTTGATCATTGATGCTGTGCGAAAATTTACTTTTGATGCGTATGTTGTTTTTTCATGGACTCTTAGTTTACGTTGTTTTTCCCTTTCCTATTAAAGTAATCAATAAAAAATAATAAATTACTTATAAACAACATGGTTCTTTAAGAATATTGATTTTATTATTGTATTGAAAACACAAAGTGGGAAGTAAAATTAAATTAGATTTAAAGAGAAACTTTACCAAACCAAAATTAAATAATCAATCAATGAATAATTACCATCTTTTTCCTCTGCCTTTCCTTGTCTCTGAGAACAAAAATATCACTGTCTGCAGGCATTTTGAAAGGATTTCCTTGAGGAACAAGTTCATCTATGAAAGACATACAAAAAAAAAAATTAAAATACCCTTAGTAGTAAGTCAAATCTCCATGTACTATAGTACATACATTTTTAAATATTTTTATGCAAAGTAACAAAGCACTCACTAAAATTCAATTTCAGATCAAATTAGATGAAAATATCAGGGTGTCCCATTGACCCAAGGACCATGGAATTTCCCTGCATATATTGCCATAATCCCCTGGTTATTTGAGTATCCCCACTCAACCCCCTGTTTTGGGAGGAACCCCATACATTCTTCTACTTTTTGTAAGCTACATGTATTTCAGTTCTTAGGGACAACTCTGAGATATTAGGACTATAGCTATCATAAGAGTAAAATAAAAGACTATATATTTACATGTAACACTTTTTTTTTAAGTCGAAACAAATAACATGAATAATGAGATAAATATGATAAATATATAAATTATCAGAATGCCTAAAAACATTGACAAGTTCTTAATCATATTATACTCATATAAATTTACAACATTATATTATATGATTATAAAAACAATACCTGACAATACAGTTGATACAGATTTGGCAGAGTTTGGGAAAGTAACTCTCCCAGATTGCCTCGACCCATCTTGTCCTATAAATATAGATCAAATCTGTTTTAAAAACATAATGGTTCAAAATATATACAACAGTAAAATTTAAAAGTCTTTCAATAAAATGTTCATATTCATCTTGCCATACAAAAAGTTCCCATAAATACCATATGTTTTTGTTTTTTTAGAACCAATTTTAAAGGTCTGTGTATTGTTATTTGAACTTACTAGATTTTTTCCCAGAAACCTCTGAGTTAGGTGAAACTGCATTAGATCTGGTCGGTGAATCTGCCATTGTCTTGTATTATTGTTAGTTTTGTTGGAACTAAAATTCGAGGAAATTCGAATCGTAAATAAAGATTTTGCACGAAAAACTACAATAATATTTTGCAGTTGGCTAGTAAATCAAAAGATTTTACAAATTAAATAAGGTCTGCACAAATGAATATATATCTCTCTGAATTAAAATATTACAAAAAACATAGAATACGTGCGTATTTTTTATCACCTGCCTGCAATCTTCAAAGGCAACAAAGATCCCTCTCAGGCCTCTCTGTTTACAATATCCGTGGTAACAATATACTCGGAACACCTCGCACCCTTTCGGTCTAAACTTCCGTTCAGCATTGAAGTCGAGCCCGCAATCCATAGAAAATGTCTTACGCAGACTTGAGTGTACAGATTTGTGACAGGAGAGTATTGCTGGAAAAGGTTGGGCTAGCAATAAAACGTAAATATGTCTTTGTTTTTCCATTTCCATAAATATGTCAATTAAAATGTTAACAGAAAGCATAGACGTAAAACGAAGGGACTGCCGACTTATGACGTCACAATCACTATCTTCTTGCGCTTGCAGCGCCCTCACCGGGATGTATAGAAACAGACTTCCTGTAATGAAATCAATGTTGTCGCATCATGATTTTTCGCATTCTTTAAGGAAATACATGTAACAACAAATTAGAAAAATCAATCACTTATCTAAGCTTTCCATGACGAAATGATCTCGATTGACTACTTCGGAACTTATAACTTTACGCTGTGGAGTCGATGGAAACGTTTTAAATGCAGACATCAGCTGACTATGACTTGACATCCCTTGAATGCTGTCGATGATATTTTACGGTAGTACATAATTTATATTCTTATTTAATTTACAAAATAAGGAAACAATTTTCTACCAATATTTTTGAAACAACGACCAATTTCATATCTATGCTGAATTCATATTCAGAACTGATAAATAATAAATATATCGTGAAGTGCCGTTCAACAACTTAATAAATAGAGATGTTCCCGTTGGCCATTAATGATCTACATAATTATGTATTTTTAAAAAGTTAGTTATAACTCTTAAAATATTTATTTAATCATGTTTATTCAGGATTACAGCATTGTCAGTGATCAAAAGATTTTCTAAGAGATCTTTTTTGATTTTTCCCACAGGATTTGTAGATAGCCTGTCCACTTTTCAAATGAAAATAGGGGTCTGCCTTGCACACCAAACTCTATGGAAAATGTTTGAGAACATGTACCATGCCATGTACCATCTGGTATAATAATGTGAAAGAACAATGATTGGTTACAAAGCTTCACAGGATTAAATCAACAAAAGTGCCATGTGGAGTGTCCCATGCATGCACGAATGAGTGGCACATGACTGGAATTCAATGATTTATTATCATGTTTAGAACTCAAATTTTTTCAACTATACTGTGTATATCCAGATTGTGATTATTATGAACTTTTGTATATCATAACTCAAAGACAAACTGCATCAATATAAATATTAAATAATTTAATATGACTGAAATGAAATATTATTAAAATCATTGTTATATTTTAGACTTTTCCACTGTTTTATTTATTAAAAAGGTTATTCAAATTAAAGCAGTGAAAAGCACTGATAATTAACATTAATTATGCATGTTTTAAGATTGTATATGAGAGTTACTTCTTGAAATTTTTGATTTTACAGTATAAAAAGTTATATCCCCATTTTCAAAAGTGAGTTATCTCCCCTCAAAATCGGAACTCTTCTACACTAGCCTAACTTCCGCGGACTACGCAATACAAAATAGTCATCAACTTACACGCTGTATTTAAGAATTTTAAAAGAAGGAAACGGTTTGAATTTTTCTTTAGATAATAAATTATTTTATAAAAGGTCTGTTAGCCCCCCCCTTTAAAGAAAGCTATACGAATTAACCAGGCACGTAGCATCGTCTTTAAAAGTGGGGGGGGGGGGTAGCCAAAGAAATATTTTTTTTTTACCTGGAAAAGTTGACAAGCAAAGAAAAACCTTGCCCAAAGTTGAAAAAGCTACTTATTTCAGTACCAGTTACTTGGCATACAATACTACATTTCCCTTATATAACTTACCGTAGTATTAACTGTGTGCGTGTGTGTGTGTGGGGGGGGGGGGGCAACCTATCTATCAATGAACATTTTCAATAGAAAAAGTAATATTGGGAAAAAAACTGGGGGTGGGGCTAAGCCCCTTGACCCCCCCCCTTCCCGTGCGTACAGGTACAGAGAATGAATATGTAAATGGGTTGAACAGTTGAATGTGAACCATAGTTGTGAAAATTAAAAATTATTAGAATTATTAATTGTGGATTCAATAAAATTACGGTACATATATTTTTCACAGATGTACATGTATGTCAGTTACACGGGGTTACACGAGTCTCTCTCTCTCTCTCTCTCTCTCTCTCTGATATTGTTTTTTTACACACTTTGCAAAAAAGAATAACTTATAAAAATAAATAAATGTACTTACACTGAAAGGATTTTAAAAAAATAAATAACACTTGAGAAAAGAATGTTTTCCGTTAATTAACGAGAAATACGCAAGGAAATTATTGTATTAATTTCGTGTTTCTGCTCTCAATTATCTGATCTAAAACAAAATGTGTATTTTACTCGGGAATATACATGTACATATGCTTAGATCCTACACTAAAACTCTGATTAAATGCAGCTCAGACTTTATACGACATATGTAACACGAATTCAGGTCAATACTATTTAATTAGTCTTTCTTCGTTACATGAGGACATGAGATTAAATTATTCATTTAGAATTCCATTCAAAGTTTTAATACTATATAGTAAATTAATTATTTTACAAATAAAAAAATCTAGAAACACTGTTAATTCAAATGAAATAGGCCTTTAATTGTCACCAAATGTGTTCTTGTAAGAAAAAGTTCTATGTTATGACATACAATCGAGCAAAAACACAGTTTCTTGGCATCGGTCGCGGAAGACGAACTACTGCTGTATATGCAGCAATTTCAGAGGTAAAACTGTAGATGGACATGTCATCAGTCTCCAAAAAATTCCTAGAGATTCAAAGAAAATATGGCTGCAGCAGGCTAGATTAATTCGTAAAAACTTTATAACTAAAAATTTGTTCCGCACATTTTGTAAATAATGATGACCCGTCTGCAGAACATCCACTACCGAAAATTAGCTTATTAGCTTTTTATAAATAGGCCTATTCGAATATGTATCAGCATTTTATCAGTAATTTGTTTCGTTTTTTTTGTGTTGTTTTTTTTTTTTTTGGTTTTTTTTTTTTTTTTTTTTTTTTTGGTAAGGGGGGGGGGGTGTCACACAGCACCTTATTATAGTACTACACAGATTAATACAAATCCAAAAAGAGACTATGATCATGAGTGGGCAATTTAAAAAAAATACGAGTCAGTTAAGATTTCTTTTTATTCACAAACACAATAATATTTTCCATATGACAGAGGCATTACACCATGAACATGTTTACATCAAGAACGTCCGCGGAAGTGACTTTATTTATAGCGCATGCGTATTAAACACAGTAAAAGAGTTCCCTTCAGGGGAAATAACTCACCTTTTGAAAATGGGGAGTTTGTATAAGTGAGCACTGCTTTAGATGTACATGTATGGCATATTTAATGTCTTTTTAAAATAATTATTTTCAATGTAATCAATCACAACTGCAAAGTACAAAATAATAATCACTGAGCATCATTTTCAATCTTATCAGCAGCCTTGAAGAACAAACACTAGTAAGTAATTATTTTATATATGCAGGTTCTACTGCCACTATGATTAAACTGTTTGATCTTTAACCCACTGCCTAAATAGAAGTTTTAATAACTTATTAACTTCTGTAGCTCAAAACACACAGGCACTCGTAAATCTTATTCTTTTTTTTTTGTCTTTTTATGAAATTATACTCCCTATACCTTGTTATGTAGTTAAGGAAAATGTTCTTTTTTTATTAAAAGAATCATATTTAAATGGGATCAACTTTTCTTTCTTTTTTTTATTTAAAAGATGCATATCAAGTTTGTGCGCATAAATATTGAACTACCTTTTAGCCCTATGCTAAATTTCAAACCCATAAAAAGTTTGACAAGCAAAAAAAAGGGGGGGGGAATGTGTCAATTTCGTACAATTTCGAAAATCCTGTCGGGGGAGGGGGGGGGTGTTGTTGTTAGGATCAGACTTCTTCCAGTACCAAATTTTTATCAAAACACTACCACTTTGGCACTTACCCATTTGTTGGCTTAAACTATAAAGTGCCTGTCGAAATTGGGGAGGGGGAGGGGCTAAACCCACGCCCCAATGATCAATGCCTACATCATATCTTTGTGAAAAAAATGGGGGGGGTGCTACAGGCTTGTCAAAGAATACTCGTATTGATTATAAATTTCTACCTCATTACTCGTGTTACTGTACCATAGTCATGATAGGTGCCACATGAGGGGTCTGTTGCGAACTATCAGCGTTGTCAAACACTGCTATTAATCATAAGATCTTTGCTCTTTAAAAAATCCACGTATTAATAGGCCTATCTGTTTCTTATATATGAACTTTTTTTTCATCGAGCAGCATCTTGAGCAACCTCGCATGCATTTTAACAGCTTCTCTGTGATCATGGTACTTGATCATCTGTCATGTTAAATACTCAAATTGTATAGTTTTTTACACATTAAAAACAAGATATATACCTCAAAAGCTGCTCAAGGAACTCTTTAGTGTATAAGTAAAAAGAATTTGGTACATTCGGCAAAAGTTTAATTCATTCTATGCTAAAATATCTCGACAATGTAGATGTAAATAACGTTATCTTTGTAATGCCGGATGTTTTCTATGCATCCCGGTGAGGGCGCTGCAATCGGAGGGAGATCGTATAGTGATATCTATTGTGACGTCATAGGAGTCGGCGGTCCCTTCGTTTTAGGTCTATGCAGAAAGTTAAATAACAGGGTTGGCGGTGCTTTTCCCACGTGTTTATAATTACAGAATTCCGATCCCGTTTGGAATATAATATTTTATTTATTTTAGTTGGATATGAAGTCATTGCTATAGACGTTGTACATACACCCTCAAAAAATGTTACGAAGAAAAAGAAAAAGCAGAAAGACCAGGTATGTCACACAATAGGTATTAATGAACAAGTGTAATTTGAGAAAAATCAATTTATGACTAAAACTAAAATTCACTGTGTTATAGTTAATAATTGAATATAATAACTAATTTATTCATCTAAAATGAATAATTTTCATATATCATATCCCATTTATGTGCTAGCATACATATACATAATAATGTAGCCTCTCCAACCCCCCCACCCCACCTCCCCTCCCCCACGCCCCCAAAGAGGGGTACATTATTGCAGCATAACTCGATGATAATTTTATTGGAACTTAATTCCCTTAAACACTGGGGTTTTGATCATGTCGATCTAACTTTACATTTTTATGCTGTTATAGGCTGGTGATGGAGTTATGAAAGCTTGTACATTAAAACTTACAGATGAAGAATTAAAAAGTCTCCAAGTAAGTTTAATATATACATATCATCATATGTGTGCATTTCAATGTTAATGTCAGGTTTGTTGTGCCGTAGAAAGGGACATGTAAATTTATTTTATTATTACAGGTTGATACGAAGCGTGTTAAGATTCTTAGCCGAGTGACCTTGAATGTGTCTGACAGTGACCAGCTGCAGTATTTGGTATTAAACAATTGTAACTTACACTCAGTTGTTACATACATTTAACATCATATTTATCAATTCAAAAGACATTCAGTAATTTTTTGTCTTTAAATTTAATTGTTTTTCTAAGCATTAACTATTAGTATTTATATGTAGTGGTTTTTTTTTTAAGTTCATTTTATATTATGAATGTACCCAAAAGTATCCCTATAAAGAAAATCCTCATTTTAAGTAAGCCATATGATGTATTCTGAAGTAGTTGGGCATTTAGCTACTTGTAATGTTACACTACCTAACATTCTCATAGGAGAGACTTTCAGAGGGTGGGGCGGGGGGGGGGGGGGGGGATACATTTTCAAAGAGGAGGGAGAAACACTTGAGAAATACCTTGATGAGCAGAAAGTCATTTGTCAAGGGGTGCACCCATATAAAGTGTCTTTGATTTCTCTAGAAAACTGAAATGTCTTGAAATGGTACAAGACATTAATTTTTATGCAACACTCTTCATAAGTTGCAAAAAGTACAGTTGCATAGGCTGTAAAAAAAATTTGAAGTACAGTACATTGTAATTTAAGGTTAAAAAAATTACCAGCTGGCTTTGAATACTCAGTATTTTATGTGGTATAGGAAAACATACAACATACATAAAAATAAGATATGAAAGCAAATTTATAAACGTGTAATACATGTGACTTGATTAGACTTACTATTATCCTGATTATGCTGTAAGTTGATTGGTACAGTTAATTATTCTTTAGATGTCCCCAGAAGTCCAGGAATATGATATTGTTGCTGTTAGACCAACCTCTGCTGAAATCTTTGCTGTAAGTTTTACGTTTAAATCACAGTATTCGTATATTTCATAAATGCGTTTTATTGCAGATTTGTTTATACCCTTTTTTAAAGGTCTCTCTAATAGGGTTAAACAAGTTCTCCACATAAAAACAAAGCAATATTGAGTGTTTCCTTTGATTTTGAAGATTTTTAAACATTTAAATGAAGAACCAAGATGAGTCAGTTTATTCTTTTTTTTAGAAAGCTGCTAAGTATGTCAATTTAGATATTATACAACTAGAAATGGAGAAAAGCACCAAAGTTATAACACCTGGAGGACTGAGTGAGGTGAACACTCTTAGTTAGTATATTGTAAAGTCAATTTTATAATGCGAATTAAGGTAAGTACCAATGTGGACTTAAGATACCTGCAGTTATGTTTTTGTAAAAAATTTGGGAAGAGTATTAAAAATATGCATTTTCTTTTGGTTAATTTAAATACCATCACAGTGTAGAATGGGTTCCTTCAGTTCCATGGTGTCTGTTTAGCAATATTTTAAATCTTAAGAAAAAGTCACTAAATTGATTGGCATTTAATTGTTAATCCTAATTATTGGAATATTATTGCATTTGAGAAATGTATGGATACCTTACCATTATGTCAGGTTATGGAGGTCTCATTATTGTGATACTCTTTGAGCGCTTGTCATTACATGTATGTCAGGTTATGGAGGTCTCATTAGTGTGATACTCTTTGAGCGCTTGTCATTACATGTATGTCAGGTTATGGAGGTCTCATTATTGTGATACTCTTTGAGCGCTTGTCATTACATGTATGTCAGGTTATGGAGGTCTCATTATTGTGATACTCTTTAAGGGCTTGCCATTACATGTATGTCAGGTTATGGAGGTCTCATTATTGTGATACTCTTTGAGCGCTTGTCATTACATGTATGTCAGGTTATGGAGGTCTCATTATTGTGATACTCTTTGAGCGCTTGTCATTACATGTATGTCAGGTTATGGAGGTCTCATTATTGTGATACTCTTTAAGGGCTTGTCATTACATGTATGTCAGGTTATGGAGGTCTCATTATTGTGATACTCTTTGAGTGTTTGTCATTACATGTATGTCAGGTTATGGAGGTCTCATTATTGTGATACTCTTTGAGTGTTTGTCATTACATGTATGTCAGGTTATGGAGGTCTCATTATTGTGATACTCTTTAAGGGTTTGCCATTACATGTGTGTCAGGTTATGGAGGTCTCATTATTGTGATACTCTTTGAGTGTTTGTCATTACATGTGTGTCAGGTTATGGAGGTCTCATTATTGTGATACTCTTTAAGGGCTTGTCATTACATGTATGTCAGGTTATGGAGGTCTCATTATTGTGATACTCTTTAAGGGCTAGCCATTACATGTATGTCAGGTTATGAAGGTCTCATTATTGTGATACTCTTTGAGTGTTTGTCATTACATGTGTGTCAGGTTATGGAGGTCTCATTATTGTGATACTCTTTAAGGGCTAGCCATTACATGTATGTCCGGTTATGGAGGTCTCATTATTGTGATACTCTTTAAGGGGTTGTCATTACATGTATGTCAGGTTATGGAGGTCTCATTATTGTGATACTCTTTAAGGGCTTGTCATTACATGTATGTCAGGTTATGGAGGTCTCATTATTGTGATACTCTTTAAGTGTTTGTCATTACATGTGTGTCAGGTTATGGAGGTCTCATTATTGTGATACTCTTTAAGGGTTTGCCATTACATGTGTGTCAGGTTATGGAGGTCTCATTATTGTGATACTCTTTGAGTGTTTGTCATTACATGTGTGTCAGGTTATGGAGGTCTCATTATTGTGATACTCTTTAAGGGCTTGTCATTACATGTATGTCAGGTTATGGAGGTCTCATTATTGTGATACTCTTTAAGGGCTAGCCATTACATGTATGTCAGGTTATGAAGGTCTCATTATTGTGATACTCTTTGAGTGTTTGTCATTACATGTGTGTCAGGTTATGGAGGTCTCATTATTGTGATACTCTTTAAGGGCTAGCCATTACATGTATGTCAGGTTATGGAGGTCTCATTATTGTGATACTCTTTAAGGGCTAGCCATTACATGTATGTCAGGTTATGAAGGTCTCATTATTGTGATACTCTTTGAGTGTTTGTCATTACATGTGTGTCAGGTTATGGAGGTCTCATTATTGTGATACTCTTTAAGGGCTAGCCATTACATGTATGTCAGGTTATGGAGGTCTCATTATTGTGATACTCTTTAAGGGGTTGTCATTACATGTATGTCAGGTTATGGAGGTCTCATTATTGTGATACTCTTTAAGGGGTTGTCATTACATGTATGTCAGGTTATGGAGGTCTCATTATTGTGATACTCTTTAAGTGTTTGTCATTACATGTGTGTCAGGTTATGGAGGTCTCATTATTGTGATACTCTTTAAGGGCTTGTCATTACATGTATGTCAGGTTATGGAGGTCTCATTATTGTGATACTCTTTAAGTGTTTGTCATTACATGTGTGTCAGGTTATGGAGGTCTCATTATTGTGATACTCTTTAAGGGCTTGCCATTACATGTATGTCAGGTTATGGAGGTCTCATTATTGTGATACTCTTTGAGTGTTTGTCATTACATGTGTGTCAGGTTATGGAGGTCTCATTATTGTGATACTCTTTAAGGGCTAGCCATTACATGTATGTCAGGTTATGAAGGTCTCATTATTGTGATACTCTTTGAGTGTTTGTCATTACATGTGTGTCAGGTTATGGAGGTCTCATTATTGTGATACTCTTCAAGTGTTTGTCATTACATGTGTGTCAGGTTATGGAGGTCTCATTATTGTGATACTCTTTAAGGGGTTGTCATTACATGTATGTCAGGTTATGGAGGTCTCATTATTGTGATACTCTTTAAGGGCTAGCCATTACATGTATGTCAGGTTATGAAGGTCTCATTATTGTGATACTCTTTGAGTGTTTGTCATTACATGTGTGTCAGGTTATGGAGGTCTCATTATTGTGATACTCTTTGAGTGTTTGTCATTACATGTATGTCAGGTTATGGAGGTCTCATTATTGTGATACTCTTTAAGGGCTTGTCATTACATGTATGTCAGGTTATGGAGGTCTCATTATTGTGATACTCTTTAAGGGCTTGCCATTACATGTATCTGTGGTTATAAATGAGATGTCATTATTGTGATACTCTTTGAGCAGGGGATACAGAAGGGGATTCATTTTGAGATCCAGTATGGCCCTGCCATCAGAGACAGCTCAATAAAGAGATATCTCATCTCCAACTCCCAGCTCCTGGCCGGCTTCAGCAAATCTAGGGTACGAATACATATCAAAAAATAAGACATATTTGTATGATGGAAAGGTTAGGGGAAAAATGCTCATATAGGTATTCATATCCCTCAGGCGATGATAAGTACTAGTAAGTATTAAAGTCACCATTTTACTTTGAACATGTTATTAAAAATAACTACTTGCTAGTGTTGTCACATTTTTTTCTTAAAGTATATGTAAAAAACGCTATTTTTAAAAGCTTTTCTTTCTATTTATAATGTAACCATTTTTAATTTCAGAATATTATAATTTCCAGTGGAGCAGAAAGGGTATGCAATTTCTAGAATTAAAAGAAAGATCAATATAAGTCAAATTTGTATACCTTAAAGATATTTTTCTAAGAAAATGACCGGTAATAAATTGTTGTCTTTAAAGTAAAACACTGTATTTGACAAATTTTATAAGGTTTAATAAAAAAATTTCAATTCAATAGTTGAAATGAATATCTATAAATTCTTAATGTCTTTCTTGTTTGATAGGCGATTGAGCTTCGAGGCCCACATGATGTAGCCAATTTGTATCCTTCAGAGATTAATATCAGGGCATATACAAAACAGTATATTACCACATTCCTTTAATCACATTCTGACAAGTAATTACTCCTACCAATATCACCACAACACAAATACCTAAAACACCCATATATTACATATAAATATATTACATATAAATATAATCAGATATTTTTTTTTGTAATTTTAAAGTAAGTGTAGAGAATATAAACTGTGTTCCTGAACTCTTGTCAGAGGCTTACTGTTTGGACTCAATGAGGCCCAAGCCAAAAACTCGGTCTCCAGAAGCTGTAGAAGTGTGCTCCTCCACGCCGGTAAGATCTTCATCTTATTTGTTTATTTATTTGTAACTGCTGTATGTAAATAAAGATATTACACAAAACTAGTAGAATCTAATTCCTGAAGATTCTTTTGTTTAAAAAACCCCAAACAACTGTAAACCAACTTTTATTTGCGTCCGAGAAATTTTTGCAAGATTCGCGAGAGCCTCACCATTGCGAATATTTCTCACTCCTAACCAGTCCTGAAAGTCTTCATGTCTATAAATAACAGATCCAAAATAGGCTTGATAGCAAAAATTAATCGTCACAAACTAGTTTACCCCCGGTTAATCACGAAATAAAGTCGTCGCGAATAAAAGTTGGCCAACAGTATTAGGTGCTATCTCTGAGTGATGTAACCACACCCTCCAGAAAAAAAAAAACTATTGTTAACTGAGGCTGTCAAGAAAACCATTGTCTACCCAGGATGCCCTGCAAAAATAAATAACTAAACATTTATTGTGTCAACCCTTTGACTCAAATTGTTTGCTGTCAATCAGCTTCAGGCACACTTCTTGGTATGATGAAATGCATGCTGCTTTTGAAAGCAGTCAATAAATTATTTTGTTACTCTCGACTATGTGCAGTACAGTAAAACAAACAGCAAGCACAAGCACCTGTGATCACTGGCAATTTGTTATAAGTATGTTTTACTGTATTTAAAGGTTATAATATAAGGAATCATTGCTATCAGTGCAACATTTTCTGGATGTAAGGGCTATTATTTTTTTTAACAGATTTATGAGCAGTCAATTTATAGCAGTTGTGTTTCAAAACTGTTATAATTGCTCAATGTTCTTGTCCTTATTTTTGACATATGAAAACTTTCATTTTCCACTGATGAATAAATTTCTTCTTAAAAAACTATAATAAAGACAATTTCTGTTTACTTTACAATGAAAAGTATAGGAAAAATTTTTATCTACATGAAAAAACTGTGTAAATTCAAGAATACCCGGTACTAATTTAGAAGCTAGGAAACTTGATTAGTTTGAAGTTGTAGAAGATTCTTAAATTAAAAAAAAGTACAGTATTACTTGGAAAGAAAAGTTCTTTGCATAGTGACACACATATTACAGAGTCATTTTCCCTTCATTAATGTTCAAGTTTTTTTTCTGTTGTAGAAATCATTACTGTTATATTTATGTAAACAGCATGAAGAATTTGTTATTGTTATTCAATCAGAGGAAAGACGGGCCTTGAAAGCTGCAGTGGCACTGTCAATCGGTGACCTTCAAGATGATCAAAAGTGGGTCAAGAACAAATTGAATGAAATTAACTCAGTAGAGACGACAGAAGAATCATCTCCAAAGAAGCGAAAACTTGAATGAAATTCAAAAGTGTTTTATTGATGAAAAAACCCCCAACAAAATGAATGATAGACTTGTAATGTTTTATTCACATTACATAAAAACTCTACAATGTATTGTAAATGATGTGGGCATTGATATTCCGTTATCTGTAGAAAAGGAGTGAAAATGAAATAAAGAAGAATATAAAATTTGATGGAGAAAGGTTTGTCATCAAGTTAGGATTTTTAAAATTATTGACTACCTAATGTTGGGCATTCAATGATGTTTTGAATTACTGTGAACAGACAACACACGTAATTGGTTTATCATCAATATAGGGAGGGCATTTCAAACTTCCACATTTGGCCAGCACACTGTAAAACAGGTAGCCATCATCATTTCTTGTCCCTCCTCCCATAATCTGCTCGGGGTTGTCGTCCACGCACGTGTAGAATCCCCGTGACTTGTCGTTGAAGCGACTCTCTGATGATATATATCCGTGATATTCTTCTGTCCATCCCTTCAGACATTGATTCCTTCCGGGAATCATGAGTACGTGTGTTCTTGTTTTTACCTGACAGACTGCACAAGGGACGTCCGTATTATGAAAGTTTGTTCCCCAAAAGTTAGTTTCGTACTCGGCACCATGTAAATTGGAAGATGTCGTGGTTTTTGTTCTGTTTCCCCACAACACATCAAATGTTAGACATAAAGGATTAGCGGCTCCTCCCTTTACATTGTACTTTGTTCCACCCACTTGACCTATGTGTTAATATATGAGCAGTAATAAAGAAATCAAAAGGACGAGGTGACATAACTGCTATCTGGGGCCCCCTTTTCCACGACGAATTATGTTTAATCTACAACGATGGACACATGTAGGTAGTTTTCAAACATGAGTGAATAAATACGACGCCCTTTAAATAGTTTCAATAGTTCAGGGGCACATTTTAATTAGAAGGAATACTGCATTATCTTTGATTTTTTAAGACCCTATTATAGCTAAATTCGGCCAGGTTTGTGAGAATATGTTTTTTTATGGCAAGAGAATGGGCGGGTCTTAGTACAATAGAGGTATATGCGTGTCCGAGAAGACTTTATATGGCTATTGTTATTATTTCGCACATATATAGTCATTGTTCAATTCGATGACAGAGCAACAAAACATGATGGTTTACTATGTTTACATTTTATCACAGACACGTTTAGGTCAGTTTACTTTTTATCCTTTTCTAAATTTCAAATTTTTATAATGGTCAGCTAAGGCTGTTTATACTTTAATAATGCGCATGGATTTTTAGCATATACGGTTTTAGGACAATAAATGTACATGAAACTTGTATATTCACTGATACTAGGAAATACGTGTAGACCTAGCGAATTGCTCACCAAACACGCTACAAAACTTTAAACTAATGTATATATATATTTATCAGTTGTTTGTAACTGTTTTACTTTGATCTCGGAAATTGTACATACGTAGATCTGTGTCTGATCTGTGACCCAAATGCATGAAAAAATTATCGGAAAGCATTAAAATTCCAAGCATATTTCCCTAGTATTATTGTGGTAATCACATTTAGCTGATTGTTAAGTTAGAAAGTATCGCCAGTGCCTCGATTAGCATATGAATTTATTTTTACGTCAGAAAATCTAGTTCCGTTGATCTGCTCATGATGGGAAAGGCCAGCTAGATTTTACAATAAAAAAATTAGCATGTGAGCACAGTTGGGTACAATTTTCCCCTTTCACATTAGGCAGATTTCAATTAAATACAGTGACCAACCAAAGGAGAAAATTGTAGCTACGTGGGCTCGTATGTTTTAAGGGCATCAAAGAGGGGGGCGGGGTTAAAATGCAATGGGGTGTAAACATGATACCCCTACCCTACCCCAATAAAAGAACTATATCTTTCAAATCACGTTTCTATTTTTCAAAGCAGTATTCTATAAAGGTACACATATCAGTGATTAGTTACATACAAAAATTTGAGTAAAATATATACATTTAATTTTTTGTCAATATACCGGGGACCACAAGCCACCTCATCCTTTTATTGCAATGTTTCGTGTAAGTAACATGGTTAGGAATAGAACACTCTTCAGGTTTTTTTTTTAATCTTTTTATGAAATTCATTGTTGCCTTATCATGAATTTATCCACATAGATGTAATTGAATATTGATAGCATGCTAATAAAAATTATATAAATGATCTTTCTGCTCATCATATCAAATATTTTGTATTTTCTTACCAGCATAAACTAAAGTTGATCCATTGCTGCAGGTACTTTTCCCCCATCTCACATAAGTTGGATTTCCATCTAAAATATGTACAAATTTATTTTTGTTATGTTTATTAACACGTAGTACTCAACGAAATTTTAACATAAATTTCTTATATATATATATATATATATATATATATATATATATATATATATATATATATATATATATATATATGAGTATCCTTGTAAAAAGTGAATTTCTCTGTGCTTTCTATATTAATATTCCTTCACTTAGGGCAGTTATATTAGTTTAAGAGTTGTTGTAATTTGTGCTTTATATATATATATATATATATATATATATATATATATATATATATATATATATATATATATATATAAATTTCTTATATATATATATATATATATATATATATATATATATATATATATATATATATATATATATATATATATATACACTTGTAAAGGATTGCTACTGTAGTTGTCAGTCAAATCATTTCAAACGATAGAATACAACTACAATTTTTCCACCACTGTCATGCAGAAAGTCATAGTTTCTAGACCACCAGTCTCTCAAGTGACCTATTATTACTACATGTTTTTCTCCGTTATTTGTTTGTTGTTCAACATCCCTCTCGAGAATCTTTCACTCAAGTCCTGAAGACGCCGCAACTTGTCGGTGGAGAATTGCAAATTTTGTCCTGTACTCGGCACTCGGGGTGATCCTTGAGCAGTGAGGGATCACTTTCGTGCCAGCACTTACTGCGACACGGGGCCTCGGTTTATACGGTCTCATCCGATCGACCAGTCTCCATGACCCACATTGGGGTTCTAAACCGCGACGTAAAGATCGACTCCTCACTTTGCGACTCTAGAGCAGAAACGATTTTTCTGTGCCACAAGGGCGATTTTTGTCCGTTGTAGTGGTTGTAGTGCGTAATGCAAATGCTCGTACTGCGTCGGTTTTAACGTTTGAGCATTTTCAGTTATTCACAAAGTTTAAAAAACTTAGGAATACCCCAGTATTTTATATTTTACGAAGGTATACCAAATTTCTGGTTCCGAGAACAGAACCATTAAAAGATGAATAAAATTGTCAAAAATCTTCTTGAATCCAAGAAGTCTAAGTTTTATCACAGTTCATCTAAATATTTCTGAGAAACATTTTTCAAATATTTCTTACAAACTTATAATTAGATTATAGACACTCACTTGTACTTTTTCTTGTATCATAGTTGCTTTTATAATCCGGAGTGATCGTTTTATTGACGCAATCATTTGTCTTCTTCCACTCTTCCACCTCTTTTGTTAAATCTTTTAAAGACCTCTCAAGCGACATTCGAATCAAAGTTTCCTGGTTTAGTAACTGTCGGACAGCATCGAGTTCTTGCTTCACGTCAGAATACTTGCATTTCTCGGTCGTTACGCTGTTTTGTACAGAAAGTTCCCCATTTATGACCGAAAAAGAGCTCAGATAGAGGAGAATTGGAATTGTAATGATAATCTCCATGGTGATTCGTATATTTGAAATTTTATGGAAAAAATCCTTTACACTTGACAATGTATATCTCGATTTAGTGCAGAATGAAACTACTTCGCAGTATTTCAGATCAGAGTGCTTTATAACGTACATTTAAGTATACGTCTAAGACATGATGTAATCTAGAAACGATGGTCCGTATCACTCACCAGAGTAATGAAAAAGTCTAATGGCGAAATGTGGTAGTCAGAGGCGTTCATCCACAGGTGACTTCAGCTTAAGATGCTTCATAATCCTGGGGCCTGGAGACCAAAAGCTGAGAACAGACTTAGGTCAAAATTTTCAATTTTACATAACTTTTGAAACCTTCATTATTTTCATTAATGAATAAGTAGGGATGTCAAAATAGTCAATAATTGATATTCGAACATTCGATAAAATAAATACATTTTGCAAAAGAAAAAATATATTTTTACTCTCCTGTCAACCAGTATACATATTATGTCATTATTATGGGATAAAATTTTAGGTAGAGTTTTGTAAATGCAAAGTAATTATTTTTAAAAAATGTTTCAGAATATACGAAGAGTACGCATCCAAAATGAAATGATTTTTTTTGGAAAATTCAAAAGTCTCTTTAATATGTTCCAGATTAATTAATTGATCGTCTTACCAAAGTCCACACTACCTACTCCTACAAATTTATACCACGCTAAACAATTATCTACAGAGAAAAAATTAAAGTCAATTAATTTTAGCTGATTAATTTCCTGATAATTATTTTAATGATATATACATAAACAAGGGATCCATGTGTTTTCTGTAAAAGTGTGTCATTGCAACGATACAACCTTACAGCAATACATACTGATTGTAATTACTTGACACAGTTATACCACAAATTAAATGATCAAAGAATAATTTATTTTAATAGTTACACTCTTCACACTTTTAAAGTAATCGAATAGGGGTATCTTTTAAAAAAATCAAATCTTATGCCTTGTCACCGGTACGACCTTGATTCAATTTCAAAGAAAAAAACTTGCCAGATTTTTCAATCTATTAAATGCCTGTATACTTAAAAACCGAATATTCGAGTCATATATTTATATTCGAATATCAACTCATCGAATGAATATTCGAATATTCGTTGACATCCCTATAAATAAGGTATTAAAAATCAAAATTTGGACTTGTAATAAGCATGATGAGTATGTTCTTAGTTAATGGTCTCCAGGCCAGAATTATACTTATATAAAGAAATTGACAGGGGATTTACTATATATTCCTAATGTAATTTAAAAGCTACAGCCACTTAAAAACGGTAACTGGTTTAGGAACAGTTTTCAGACAACACCTAGCGGCTTTAAACATCAGAAAAAGTTATTGTCTTTGGTGAGCTAATATTCAAATCTTTGTTATAATGTTTATTGAGTGGAGCACTTGAAATGATTACAGATTTTCAACTTCTGCGATGTTTGTTTCCGGTACGGTGTGTCAACTTTTTACCCATACTTAAGAACCCTCTCTACACTGCGCATGAAAGAGTTCTGATTCCAAGGTATTTTTCTGCAGTTAGAGTGATCTGCCCTTAGATTTAAATTCTGAAAAATAGAAATTTACAATATTCATGTTATACCCAATTTGTAATCAATTCAAGTATTCTTAACATTTTAAAAGGCTAAAATACATTAAATGAATGTATTATGTACATGTATTTTCTCTACTGAAATAATTAATAGCGATTTCTATTCACTGATATTGTGTTGTCTTTCAACATTTTTCCCGGGGGTAAATGCCAAGCCAAATACATTGAAAATTGAACAAATAAGCTCAATATTAACACCTTTATACAATATATTTTTTTCAATGTCCAAAAAAAAAAATTTGCACTTGTGTAGAGAGGGTCCATAAGTTGCATTTATACATGCATTAATACTGTAAAATCACATATTTTCGTGGGGTCAAATTTTCGTGGTTGAAGAAAAAATGTTAGTTTGTAGGGATTTGATTCCGTGGATGAAAAACTTTTTAGTAGTTGTGTATATGAAAATTGCATTTCGTGGTGGACAGGAATTCGTGGATCTCTTCATACCTCGAAAACAACAAAAATTAGACCCCCACGAAAATTAGTGATTTCACAGTATAAGAACATGCTCTACATATGAAGAAATTCTGAAACGAACTACCGGTTAAATTATTTTCAATTACTTCAACAAAGAGCGATATATGGTTCTTGTGTCTCAATTGGCCCCTTAAAATGAATATCTTAATTTTACTTTATATGTAGCTTTAAATTGTACAGCTATATATGCGACCTTTATTGGTCATTTTCATTTTGATATAAATGCCGTTATTTTAGAAATATGACATCATAAAAATCACGTTTTCCCGCCATTTTAGCATATTTTGTATAAAACTGCTTATTTTCAAGCAGTTTTTCTTCCTGAAAATATAGAGCGCAGCCTAGAACAAGCTCTGTATTTTTACCGAAGATGTATCTAAAAAATTCTCTGCCATCATATTTTTTCGAGCTCTCGTTATACAGCTCAACTGATTAGTGACACAAAAATTATGTATGTTCTACACTGTGCTGTATGTTTCCCATAAGAAAAAACATCAAGAAAAGGGCATATTTTTGGCTTTTTTGTTAAGATAGCAAAAATAGCATTATTTCTCATGTCATTTACAGCTAGTGAGTGCATATAAATATGAAAAATATATTGGAAATATTTCTGATATAATCTCTTCTACAAAGTAAATATCAATTAAACATATCTGAAAGTCATTCTACAATGTTGATTTTTAGGGGGCCAAAATTGGACCTTATCATATATACTCCTTTCTGAAAAAAAGAATATCAGCAGTCTCGTTTAAAGCCATCATTTCATAAGTTCTATGATCAATACTGTGACCTTGTCAGCAAATGAAATTTTCCATTAAGTCTTATGCTGATTGACGGTTTTTTTTATACTAACTGTTTGGTCATTATACACACCGTTATTTCCCGGTCATGACAAGGAGCACAGGGTGTGGATGTGACCGGTCAGCAAGGAATGCTCACTCCTCCATGGCATCTGGTCCCACCTCTTGTTTTGGAGGTATGTGTTTGCTCTGCTCTAATTTTGTATTCTTCAATGGACTTTTAAACTTAAAGTTGAACACAATTTGTTAAAAAAAATTCTCTGCCATCATATTTTTTCGATCTCTCGTTATACAGCTCAACGCACTTTTCTAAGCTCACATGGTTTTTCGCACAAATTAAAGGTACTTGGACACAGATTTGAAGTTAATTATTTTCTCTATAATATTACGACTTATATATTTTAATAGCATTTCACACAAAAATTAATTAAAAATCATATTTCATATAAAAGATATTAAAATTTCAAATTTTTTGGCGGGTTTGATTGACACATCCTTGCACTTTTACAAATTAATTTTGTTCTTAATTCTTAGGAAAAGTGGCAATCTCGTTGTGTATAAATGAAAAATATTAATACTATAATCCAGAAAATTCAGAGTAGACATGTTGGAAAGCAAAACAAACACACAATATAAAAATATTAAAATATATAAGTCGTAATATTATAGAGAAAATATTGACTTCAAATCTATCAAAATCAAAATCAAAATTATATTTTTCATAATGTTGAAAGTATATGCATCTTCCTCATGTTCATTCCCAACACAACAGAATTGTAAAGTATCAGAATTCGGGAATTTATAATAATTCCACATCAGCACGACAAACATGAACAATTTGTAAATAATTCAAATTATACGGAAACACATTTCACACACAAGATATTATGTCATGTATAAACAAGGGATTGTCTATCGTATCTAATTATGCGTCATTAATTGCATTCACATTCATCTTGTGCATAAAATCAAATTTATTTATGAATGTATAAATAATATAATGATAAAAATGTCTAAAATTTCGACTAAAAAACCCTCTCTCTCTTTTTTATCAATTCATACATATTTGCAGAATATGTCTTCAACATTTTAGCAGAGACAATGATAATTTCAGGATTACAGCTTATGAGAGAACGTAGCTGTTGATCGTTTAATTTCGCTAAGTCATCAATATTTTACCATTTCTTGGCGACTTCAAAAGGGGGGGGGGGGGGGGCTAAAGGCTCCTTGACCACCTCTGACAAAACAACCTCGACTGTGTTCTGCATGTGTCCAAGAGACCTCTCCTTTCACAATCATTGAATTAAATGTTAATTTAAGTTTTTTGCTATACGTCTTTGAATGTTACGGTCAGTTAAACACGGTTATATATTTTTAATTGTAGGGAAGATTTATTCATCAAATAAAAATTACATAGGTATACAAAAAGCAACCTGTTATTTTCTAACACAATATGATACTACAAGTATTGAAACTAAAACACACATGTAATATTGTGGATGTCAGAAGTGTTTTATACTTAACTTATAGCATAATTGTTTTCAGAAATAGTTCCATATAACTCTTAAACTTACGCTTTTATCAAATTTCACTTTGTTGAGTAAAAAAGTGGAAAAGTCTTAATTCACCACTAAGAATTTTATAATAAAAATTTGCACTTTATTTGTATGATGTAAGAGGTGATAATGACGAACGGTTACCATTCATAAAATATCCTGCCCACAAAACAAGAGGTTAAAACCACGTACCCCCTTGAACAAAGTGAGTGGGATTATACTTGTCGAAGCGAGTAAAAATCTTTTACACTGGTCGTGGTATAGAGTAAAACTTGGCTATATAACGAAGTTGCTGACACTGTTAATTTACTTCGCTATATCCCTGAATTCGTTATATCCGAGTTCGTACTGAAGGAGTTTTACTGTATAAGTGTGGGCATGGTGTAAATATCTCCCAGCTACTTTTCTCAAGAGCGTGCTCTAATTACAACTACAAAGTTTTAAAAATCCACTAGGCTACTCAAAGATAATGTTATTTCGTCAATGTTAAGGGTTTCCGTTTGCATTTATTTTAATTTCGTACACAACCCAGTCCATATAATTAAAGAAAAAATATATTTTGTTAAACATTGTTAAATTCATCAAAAAACACTCAAATAAATAGAGTTGTATGATTGATTAAACAAATTGATGACTAATTTTTGACCACGTCTTTAACAGATCGTGAACAGCAATTAAGTACTGGTAGTAAATTTATTAATTTATTGGAAATGTATTGTCCAAAATAGTTTCAATTAATGGAAGATTAAATAAAATTAGGACGGCGTTGATAGGTTAATTGATTACTTAAAAATATTGTATAAACTTTGACATTAAGAAAATAAATTCATTGCTCTTACAATCCTTGATTCTATGAAGACGATCTCAAAAGGAAAGTGGAGTGAGCTTTTTATGCCCCTGGATCGAAAGATCCCACCTCTGATATTCTGGAGGTCCGGGTTTGCTCTGTATTTTGTATTTTTTATGGACATTAGTTCTTGAATATTGTTTGTTATTTCTGTTTCATAAAAGAAATAAACAAATCTTGTTACATTCGTAGTGTAACAAGTAAACATAGATCGATCAACTAAAAACTATAAATGAAGACGGCATAAAACAGGGACTCTTAGAAATTCCGAGGGTAAGATCAGGTGTCTACGAGTATTAAGCATTCCCTGTTGACTATTTACCCGCTGTGAGCCCTATGTTTTATAAGGTAGACGGAACTTTGGAGTCAAATTCAGTTATAACGTAGGAGTAACAATGTCATATTCTATTCATCATTAAGCCAAATGCTGGCTGACGTTTATCATATTTATTGTAAAGCAATTTTAAGGCAATTATTTGCACACTGAATTGTACACAGATTTTTCCTTTACTTCCCGGCCCGATTACAAGAAGGAGCACATGGCGGCTCTGACTGGTCGGCAAGTGATGCTCTCGCCTCCATGCATGATACCTGATCCCACCTCTGATGTTTTTTTTATGTCCTTGTCTGCTCTGCTCCAATTTCAAATTGTTTAATGGACTTTCGAGCTTGAATACTATACTTTAGATTGGAGATAACCAATGAATCTTACAGCAAAGTAATTTTCATTTCCAGTGAGTTTTAAACATTGTGAAGCTAACGGATATAACAAATAACATTGAATTTTATAATGAAAAACAAAATCACCCATCATCGGCAATTTGTTAGAAGAAAGTTTTACTGAATGTAATGGTTACAAGAATTTATTGCTATCAATGCAGCATTTTCTGAGTGTAAGAGTAACTAAATTTTTTTTAATCAGATTTATGATCAGTCAATTTATAGCAGTCATGTTTCAAAACTTTTATAAATGCTCAATGTTCTTGTCCTTATTTAACATATGAAAACTTTCATTTTGCAGTGGTGAATAAATATCTTCATTTACTATAAAAACAATTTTCAATCAAAAGTATAGGAAAAAATATTGAATCTACATTAGAAGAACTGTGTAAGTTCAAAAATATTTAGAACATATACAATATTTATAGAATATTTTCAAAGCAGGAAGCTTGATAAGTTTGAATATTTTAAATAAAAAGTTCTTTGCATAGTGATATACATATGACAGAGTTACCGTATTTAGCCTTCGTAATTGTTCAATGCCGTACTATTATATTTATGTTAACAACATAAAGAAGTTGCAATTATTTTTTAAACTGTTATTTGATCAAAGGAAAGACGGGCCTTGAAAGCTGCAGTATCACTGTCAATGGGTGACCTTCAAGATGATCAAAAGTGGGTCAAGGACAAATTGAATGATATTCACTCAGTAGACGACAGAAGAATCATCTTCAAAGAAACGAAAACTTGAATGACGTTCAGAAGTCTTGTATTAATGGACACAAACAACAGAATGAATGATAGACTTGCCAGGTTTTATTCACATGACGTAAAAACTCTACAATGTATTGTAAATTAATGACTCTGTGGGCATTGATATTCCGTTATCTATAGAAAAGGAGTGAAAATGAAATAAAGAAGAATACAACATTTGATGGAGAAAGGTTTGTCATCAAGTCAGGAATTTAATTTTTGTCTACCTAATGTTAGGCTTTCGATGGTGTTTTGAATTATTGTGAACAGACAACGCACGTAATTGGTTTTTCATTAATATAGGGAGGACATTTCAAACTTCCACATTTGGCCAACACGCTGTAAAACAGATAACCATTATCATTTCTTGTCCCTCCTCCCATAATCTGCTCGGGGTTGTCGTCCACGCACGTGTAGAACCCACGTGATGTGCCACTGGAGTGACTCTCTGATGATAGATATCCGTGATACTCTTCTGTCCACCCCTGTAGACACCGATTTCTTCCAGGAATCATGAGTATGTGTGTACCTGTTTTTAATTGACAGTAACTGGCAAGGGACATGTATTATTGTTTTTGTAAAGTTTTGTCATCAAAGTTTGTATTAATTTCAAAGCAAACATGATTTGAAGTTGGTAATGTCAAGACAAAAAAAGAGAAATAAAATACTAATTCTTTTGCACCATGCAAATTGGCAAACTCTGAGGGTTTTTTTCGGTTTCCCCACAACACATCAAATGTTAGACATAAAGGATTAGCGGCTCCTCCCTTTGCATTGTACATTGTCCCACCAGCTTGTCCTATGTTAATATATAAACAGTATTTTATAAATCAATTTTTTACTACTATAACTGTTTCGTGTAAGTAATTGGTGTAGGAATAGAAAATTCTTTAGTTTTTCATTATATGTCCAATGGAATTGCATTGCATTCAGACTATAGCTTAGAATTTTATCATGACAGTATTCCACATCCTTTTTAAAAACTTTTAATGGCAATACTATCCTTCCATCACTAACAAGAGTTGATCATACGAATTGAATAGAACTTCACTATTGTTAAGCAAATAAAAAATAATCCAGGAAATCATATGGATATGGAAAAAATATGCTTCATACTAAATGCTCAAAATTCACATAAAATATTTAAAGTAATTGACTTGAATACTATTGAAATCTAATTTTTTTCAATGAAGTCTATCAGAGCCTTATGAATTTATCTTCAAAGATTTAACTGAATATTGATAGCATGCCTAGAAGCAACGGAAAGTAATAATAAATGCTCAGTAAATGAGAAAATGACAATTAATAATTAAAGTTCTTTTTAAAGATGACATATCTCTCTGATAAGAGAGATAATTTTTAAAGAAAATTACGTATTCAAACCAATCAAATGGATTGTCTTTCCAGAAAATATTATGGTGATATAAAAAATTAATGATCTTTCTGCTCACCATGTCAAATTTTATATATTTTATTACCAGCATAAACTAAAGTTGATCCATTGCTGCAGGTACTTTTCCCCCATCTCACATAAGTTGGAGTTCCATCTAAAATATGTACAAATTATTTTTGTTATGTATATATACACGTAGTACTCAACGAAATTCTAACAAAAATTTCTTTTAAAAAGTTAATTTCAGCCTGACTTTTTAAAAGAATTTCTTTTTCGCAAGAAACGCAGTGACTTATAATTAATGACTGCATGTACATGTGTGTACTTGCAAGTTAAGTAGTCAGTCAAATTATTTCTAGCTGCAGAACTGTAGCTCTCCAAAAAAAATATTTTGTCTCCGGTCTGACAAAATCTTTTTTTCGGAGAGCTACAGTTTTGCAGCTAAATCATTTCAAAAGATAGAATACGAACACAATTTCCCCGCTACTGTCATGCAGAAGGACAGTTTCTAGACCACAAGTCTCTCAAGTGAACTATTACTACATGGTTTTGTCCGTTGTTTGTTTGTTATTAAACGTCCCTCTGGAGAATTTGTCATTAATGGAGACGCTGCAAGTTGCCAGTGGAGAGCTGCAAATTTTGTCCTATACTCGCACTCGGGGTCCGTGAGCAGTGAGGAATCTTTTTCGTGCCAGCACCTACTGCGACACGGGACCTCGGTTTATACCGTCTTATCCGATGGACCAGTCTCCATGATCGACAGTAACGTACCCGCGACGTAAGGTTACTAGTACTCACTTTGCGACTCTAAAGCTACTACTGCGCCACACGGGCGACTTTTTGTCCGTTGTAGTGGTTGTACTGCGTAATGCAAATGTTCATATTACGTCTGTTTTAAAGTTTGAACATTTTCAGTTATTAACAAAGTCTTAACAACTGAGCAATGTTTCAATATATTTTACGAAGGTACAAGTATTTACCAAAATCCTTGTTTCTAGCTTTCTGATAACAGAACCATTAAAAGATGAATAAAATTGTTAAAAATCTTCTTGACTCCAAGAAGTCTAATATCACAGTTGTATTATGTAAATATTTCTGAGAAACATTTTTCAAATACTGGTATTTCTTACAAACTTACTATTAAATCACAGGAGTTCGCGTACCTATCAATTTCACCGAAATTTTCAGTAATTCTTTTAAAAAAATACGTCATACCTATAATTAGACATTTTTTTATGTACTGAAAATTTCGGTTAAATTGATAGGTACACCAACTCTTCTGATTAGATTATGGACACTCACTTGTACTTGTTCTTGTATCATAGTTGCTTTTATAATCCAGAGTGATCGTTTTATTGACGCAATCATTTGTCTTCTTCCACTCTTCCACCTCTTTTGTTAAATCTTTTAAAGTTCTCTCAAGCGACATTCGAATCAAGGTTTCCTGGTTTAGTAACTGTCGGACAGCATCGAGTTCTTGCTTCACGTCAGAATACTTGCATTTCTCGGTCGTTACGCTGTTTTGTAAAGAAAGTTCCCCATTTATGACCAAGAAAGAGCTCAGATAGAGGAGAATAGGTATTGTAATCATCTCTATGGTGGTAACTCTCTACTCAGTGCAGTATGAAACTACTTCGCATTATTTCAGACCAATGTATTTTATAAGATGCATTTAAGTATACGTCTAAAACATGGTGTAATCTGGAAACAATGGACTGTATCACTCACCAGAATAATGGAAAAAGTCTTCAAACGATTTGTAAAGATTGATAATTATATAATACTTCAATTTATGATTTGACTAGGAATGAAATTGAGTTAAAAAATCCCCATTCCCCCAACTAGCATGCGCATTTAAATAAAACATAACGAATTCAAGATCAAACTCCATAAAACAATACAAATTAGGAGCAGAGCAAACACGGACCTCCGAAACATCAAGGGTGGGATCAGTGCCATGGAAGAGTGAGCATTTCCTGCCGACCCGTCACACCCGCGCCGTGCGCTCCTTGTCATGATCGGGAAATAACGGAAAAAAACCGTCGCCAATTCAGTGTATAAATAATGGACTAACAATTAGTATGAAAAATGTAAGTCAGCATTTGCCTCGATGATAAATTGTATTTGCTGATAGGTTCATTGTATCGACCATAGAACTTACGAAATGATGACTTTAAACGAGGGTTCTGATATTCTTGTTTCATCAAGATTTTCATATATTTTAAATTAATTTTATACCTGATAAAGCTGTGTGTCCTTCATTATTCTATAAACATGATCAAGATATTGACAGGGAATTTCATTTTTATCCCTAATTAAAATACAACCACTCAGAAAAGGTTAAAGTGTTGAGAAAAGAGTTTTCAGACAGAACACCAGAGGCTTTTAACATCAGAATATTATATTATCTTGTGGCTTTGGTGAGCTAAAATTCTAATCTGTTATAATGTTTTAAAAGTGTTAACTGAGTAAAACACTTAAAATATTTACAGATTCTTGACTTCTGCGTCAATGTGTTTGTCCGGTACGGTGTGTCAAAACTTCCTTTATTACTCTGCTTCGGAAATTGGAGCATTCGACGCTAAAGAAAAAAAATGGAATTACTCATATTTAGTTGGCATACATATGCAAGTACGATCGTGATGATTTAAATTTTTCAATGGTAAACTTCCCCTACTAGTGAAGCAATTTACCTGCATTAATATTGCCTGCATAAAGAATTTCTATCTCTCAGCTGATTCTCAAAAACATGCTCTATATATGAAGAATTTCTTAAACGAAGTACCGGATAAATTATTGGCAAACAAGTTGAATCAAGAATATCAGAAATCTCGTTTAAAGTCATCATTTCATAAGTTCTATGATTAATACAATGACCTTGTAAGCAAATGTAGTTTTCCATTGAGTCTAATGCTGATTGACGTTTTTAATTCTAATTGTTAGGTTATTATCTATTCACTGAATTGGTGACGCATTTCATTTCCTGTTATGTTCCGATCATGACAAGGAGCAGACGGCGGGTATGACCGGTCGGCAAGGGATGCTCATTGCTCCATTGCATCTTGTTCCACCTCTTATATTTTGGAGGTCTGTGTTTGGTTTGCTCCAATTTTGTATTCTTTGAACTCAAAGCTATTGATTGATTTGATGTTGTTGACTCATTTTCACTATATGAAGACGCCACTACTCGCCGATGGGGGGGGGGGGGGGGGCTGCAAATTTTGTCCTATACTTGGCACTCATGACATTAAGCATGGAAGATTTTTTTTTTCGTGTCAGCAACTACTGCGAGATGGCGCCTCGGTTTATACGGTCTCATCCGAAGGACCGGTCTCTTGTCCCACAGTGGGATTCAAACTCGCGAAGTAAAGAGCAGACGCTCTAAGCACTGCTCCACGTAGGCGAACTCAGAGCCATAGAGAAATTAGGGATCTTTTTCGTGGCAACACCTGCTCCAAAACGGGACCTGGGTTTTATGGTCTCGTGCGAAGGACCAGTTTCCATGACCCGTAGTGAATTCGAACCCGCGAATTAAGGTTGTGTTAATATCTTCCACGCATCATAGGTAGAGAATGAATCTAGAAATAAAACCTTGAGCAAAAAAGTGCAATTTTAAATAGAAAAACTGTTCGTTATCTCCACATCTTTCATTTGAACTTCAAGACTAGTTTATATAATATTAAATACAGTAATGTTGCCAAGATGTAAGCTATGACATCTACCTTTTTTAAAGAAACGTTTCCCTGATCCAGTTGGATTCTAAGAAATCGTCAATTTCTACAAGATAACCGCCCTATTTTTCATATACAATCTGTAAAGGTTATCAATGTACATCTCTGACATCATCTGTCCTGTTGTATTTATTTCCTTATTTTAGTTCATTACATATTCAAATATTATAATATTCAAATATTATAATAACAACAATACAAAGTTATGATTTTGTTATATTTTTACACAAGCATTGTCACATAAAGAATTTAATAAATAAATTAAGGTAATTCCACCCTCCTATGATGTCATATGTTTTTGCAAAAACTGTAATTAGTTTAAATTTATACCTAATAGAACAATATCTTTTGGAGAATGCTTAGGCACAATAGGTGTAATGATAAATATTGTTAAGTAAATTTTTTTTTAAAAATGCATATTTTCTTTATTTAATCAATTATTTAATCTTTAAAAATGTTGACAAGGTCAATAACTGCATCTAAGGTCTCTTCATTCAGGCATTTGTTTTATTGTACTTCTAATGTAAAATAGTTTCCCTGATATTTACAATTCAAAACTATCTTATAAGAAGGAAGTGTTTAGGAACATTCAGCATCAAAATTAAGCATTTCAACCAGTTTTTACATATTTTTCATAATACTGATTACAAAAAATGTGCGATTTTTTATGTTGACATACACTTCTGTTTATTCATGTTTCGCATCTTAAATAAAATGGTGACCTTTACATTTTTTGCAACAACTGGAAAATTTAAAGTATATTAACTGAAAAAAAATGCAGTTTTTATACTTTAAACCATTAAAATTGTGAGGGTGGAAACACCTTTAGCCTGTCTGATGATTTTTTGTATATTGCACACTCGATATTGTTTTATTGTTGCTAACATCCTTGGTGATCACTTTGTGACACAGTCATTGTTCTTCTTTAATTCCTCCACTTCTTTTGTTAAATCTTTTAATGTTTTCTTTTGCGACATTCGAATCAAAGTTTCCTGATTAAGTTACTGTCTGACAGCATCCAGTTTTTGGTTGACATCAGAATATACTTATAGTACAAGTATTGGATCACGCGGGTTTTTATTGAAAAATCACAATTTATTGTGGACAAACTGATCATTCGGATTCTAAACATATCGGTTTTTATCTATGTTTAGATAACTAACAACTAATCCTACACATATTTAGATAAAATACATTTTTAGAAAAAAAAATCATAGGTATCCACACATATTTAGTAATAAAAATCATAGATATCCAGGCTTTTGAAAAAATTACACAGTTTTTATACATATAAAGTACTTTTTATTAATTCGATTATTTTACAATGCCTAGTGTATAAAGATTTTCCTATCATTACAAAACACCATTAATCACTTCTTATTTCATATCATGTTAATAAACATTGGTATCTATGGTAAAATTAAAATAAACCTCAATTTCTCTAAATATGTAATTTTATAATACGTTTATGAGGTAAAAATTTTGACTTTTTATAGGACCTTTTTGAGAACTTCAAAAAAACTTTGAAAGACCTAAAAGAAAATTATAGAAGATAGACACCGAAACACAAATGTTTATAAATACATATATTAAATATTATTTTGACATATAGATATTTTGATCATTTCATTTCATTATAACGATAATTATAAAGATTTAACAGTTTATTGATATCCACCCCCTACCAACCATCCTTTGTGCATGTATTATAAAAGATATAAACACAATATTTATATGTATTCTTAAAGTAAAACTGTCTTATAAGAATTTAACACAAAATCACAATTTAACGTAAGGTAAAGGTCACGATGTGTAAATATTATTTTTATGACTCAAAAGCATACCTAAGATAAATAATAATTTAAATAATTCATGATCGAAATTAAGAAATAATGCTTGCACTTTTTATTCAGTAGATATGTAAGATTTTATGAACTTTATCACTGTTTACGACATTTCACTAATTTTTCAGGTATCTGACATTTCCGGCAAACTTTTGCACGAAGAGTTATTCGAAGTACTCAGACTGAAAGGCAATGGTTCTTTTTCTTTTGCTAAACAGTGTAAACTATCGAAAATAATCAGAGTTTTTAGCTCACCTGAGCCGAAGGCTCAAGTGAGCTTTTCTGATCAAAATTTGTCCGTCGTCTGTCGTTGTTGTCGTTGTCGTCGTCGTAATTGTTGTTGTCGTTGTAAACTTTTCACATTTTCATCTTCTTCTCAAGAACCACTGGGCCAATTTCAACCAAACTTGCTACAAAGTATCCTTGGGTGAAGGGGATTCAAGTTTGTTCAAATGAAGGGCCATGCCCTTTTCCAAGGGGAGATAATTATCAATTAGAGAAAAATTAATGGCATTTAAAAAAAAAAATCTTCTTCTCAAGAACCACTGGGCCAGGAAAGATGAAACTCATGTGGAATCATCCTCAGGTAGTGTAGATTCAAGTTTGTTCAAATTATGACCCCTGGGCTAGGGTGTGGCCAAAATGGCCGACTAAAGTTTTACATAGGAATATATAGGAAAAATCTTTAAAAATTTTCTTCTCAAGAACCACTGGGCCAGGAAAGATGAAACTGACGTGGAATCATCCCCAGGTAGTGTAGATTCAAATTTGTTCAAATCATGACCCCCGGGGCTAGGGTGGGGAGAAAATGGCCGACCAAAGTTTTACATAGGAATATATAGGAAAAATCTTTAAAAATCTTCTTCTCAAGAACCACTGGGCCAGGAAAGATGAAACTGACGTGGAATCATCCCCAGGTAGTGTAGATTCTAAATTGTTCAAATCATGACCCCCGGGGCTAGGGTGGGGAGAAAATGGCCGACCAAAGTTTTACATAGGAATATATAGGAAAAATCTTTAAAAATCTTCTTCTCAAGAATCACTGGGTCAGGAAAAATAAAACCCATGTGGAATCATCCTCAGGTAGTGTAGATTCAAGTTTGTTCAAATCATGACCCCTGGGCCTAGGGTGGGTCCAAAATGGCCGACCAAAGTTTTACATAGGGATGTATAGGGAAACCTTTTAAAATCTTCTTTTCAAGTACTT